GTGGTCCATCCACACAACCCAACACTATTCAGCTGTGGAGAGAAAGAGGGAGCTCTGGTGGCACTATGGTTAGGCATGACTGCTAACCAAAAGGTCAACAGTTCGAATCCCCCAGCTGAAGATGGAATCAATTTCTACATTAGAAATTGTCGACATGGAGTGTGTCTTGTTATGTACATTTTCTCCACAAGAAAAATCCAAGCTCACTGCCGTCAAGTCGATTAGACTCACAGCGACCCATCCTTGGGTTTCTGAGGCAGTATCACTACGGAATTAAATTGCCCAATCTTCCTTCTGAGGAGTGGCTGGTGGGTTTGAACTGCCAGCCTTCTGGTCAGCAGTCAAATGCCTTAGGCAGTATGCTTCCAGAAAAAAGTAATTTGCCAAGGGTCAGACTTCAAGTTAAGCACTCTGTAAAGATTACACCCAATAACCCTGTGATGGAAACACTACTGCTGTCTCTGTTTAAGGCCCTCTGGTGGTGCAGTGGTTAAGAGCTTGGCTGCTAACCAAAAGGTCGGTGGTTCAAACCCACGAGCCACTCCACAGGAGAATAATTTGGCTGTGTGCTTCCATAAAGATCGACGGCCTTGTAAACCCAGTTCTACTCTGTCCCACAGGATCACTATGGGCTGGAATCAACTTGGTGGCACACACCAATACCTCCATTTTCATGTGGGGAAACTGAGGCAAAGCAAGTCAGTGGGTCTCCCATGGATATGCAGAAATCTGGGATGTGGCCCAGGTGGTACAGTTCTCTTCAGGAAGGTATCCTGTGGGCAGACAGAATCCCTTGGTAACCAGACAAGATGCACAGAGGGCAGAGCTCAAGGTCACAGCTTCTAGGCTCAGCATCTGGCCTGAGCGTCCCAGTACCTTTCCTGCCTCTAAGGAGCCTGCCGGTTCCTCCAGTTAGAAGACAACGTGTTGAAATAGGCCCTGCATAGTAGTGGTATTGTTTCCACAAAGAGCTGCAGGGCTGGCCGGCAGAACAACGTGACAGGCCAGCAAGAACCAGCCCCTTGTCCTCCGAGTGGCCACAGCTAAGGACTAGGACAAAGGGGAACAATCGCCTTGCAAGTACTGACACAGCCCTGACTCCCTGCTGCCACCATCCAAGTCAGCGCTCTCAACCCTCGTTAAGATCAAATCTGTGCTTCCAGAATCCTGAAACTCCGAAGGCCCCTCACCACTCTTGAAACTCTACCAGGAAACCATTCCTGCTGCAGAACTCATGGGTACCCCCAGATAATGAGACCCCTGGAAGGTGGGGGTGACCCTAGAGATGCCTGTGTTGAGTGACGAGATCCCTCAACCTGCTAAGCTGAGATGGGAAGAGGCTCCGCTGAGCACTTTTTGTCGCAGCAACCAAGAAATCAGGCCCATCGCACTGGGCAGATCTGCTGCAAAAGACCTCTTTAAAGTGTCCAAAAGCAAAGCTGTCACCTTGAGGACTAAGGTGTGTCTGACCCAAGCCATAACATTTTCAATCACCTGATAGGCACATGAAAACTGGACTATGAATAAAGAAGACTGAAGAAGAATCAATGGCTTGGAATCGTGTTGAAGAATGCTGAATATGCCACGGACTGCCGAGGAAAGAACAGATCTGTCTCGGAAGAAGTACAGCCAGAATGCTCCTTGGAAGTGAGGATGGTCAGACTTTTTGTCTCGTATTTTGGACACACTTTCAAGAGGGACCAGTCCCTGGAGATAGATCGGGCTTGGTGAAGTACAGGGTCAGGACCTCACGGAGATGGACTGATGTGGTGGCTTCCAGAGTGGGCTCAGGCATAGAGGGATTGTGAGGGTGGCACAGGGCCCGGCAGTGTTTCATTCTGTGTGCTGTACACGGGTCACTATGGGTCAGAACTGACTGGCGGCACCTGACAACAACAACAATGTACTTGTCGGAGAGAAAGTGTGTTCCCTCGTTTACCAGCTCCTGGCCCTACCTGGAGTCTCTGGGTGCAAACGGTTAAATGCTTGGCTGCCGACGGAAAGGTTGGTGGTTGGAGCCCCCACTGCCACCAAGGCATCACAGAAGAAAGGCCTGGTGGTGAGCTTCTGAAAAGTCAACGTCATGACCACCTTATGGTGCACAGTTCCACTCTGAGGCACGTGTCACTGTGCATCCGAGTTGGCTGTGTGGCGACGGGTCGCTGCCCCGAAGGAGCTCACATCACTGCCCAGAAGGATTCATTACTAAAGGACAGGGTGTCATTGAAGTGCACACCCGTACCAGATCTAATTCAAACATTCACAGGGACCCCATGGCCCCCACGTTAACTCGCTGACTGTATGCCTCCTGATTGTCCCGGAGGCATGCCCTGCTTCTCATTAACCTGCACAGTGGCAGCTCTGTCAGCTAGGGGCCTCTTCCCCAATGTTCCTATACGGAAGGTGGCCGTGCACAGAGAGGTGAAGATGTCTGCTGGGAGCCACACAGCAGACAGGCCGAGGAGTCAGGGGAACCCTGCCCTTCCAGGGCTGCTAAGACCCTCCCGCACTCTTCCCATGGCAGTACACCGGGGGAGTGTGCCAGCTCTTAGGGAGATGCTCGGGCTTTGGCTAGAGCCAAATCACAGCCTGGAAATTTCAGACATGAGGGGCTGCCAGGGACCAGCAGCCCAACCTCCTCATCTCACAGATGGGGACAGTGAGGCCCGGAGAAGGGCCAAGGTCACCCAGGGAGACTCAGAGGAAGGCTGTGCCATCCATCCTCTGACCGGGCAAAGGTTCCCAGGAAAGGAAGTGAGCAGAGCAGGAAGTGCCCTGACCCCAAGGTCACTGCTGTGAAGGTCAGCTCCTCCTCAGAGCAGATGGAGCCTGGGGGGAAGGGCTGGGGCTGGGCTGGGCTCCCAGTGCCGCTGGGAGACAACTGCAGCCTTCAGCCCAAGCGGTGCTCATCCGTGTCCCCTGAGAAGGACACAGACGCCACAAGACATCCCACCCCCTAAGCGCGTAAGCCCCAGGGCAGCCCACCCCACAGGCTAAGGGGCTCATAGTTACATCCTCATCATGCTCCAGCTCCAGGCCGGCCTCCAGGAGGTTCCCTTCGTACTCCTCCCTGCGGAACCTCTTGTCATCCTCGTGGTAGTCCATGGGGGGCTCAGGCCCAGCCTCCACTGGGACCCCCTTCCCCGGCAGGGGCTGGTCCTGCTTGACACTGCGAGCTGCCGGGGAGGCGTCACTGTGCTGGACCCTCCTGGCCAGGGTTCGACTTCCCGAGGGCCGCTTGTGGTGGTACACCAGGATGTAGTCCGCCTTCCTTTTGCCGTCCCGGAAATACAGGCCATATTTGCACTGGGCGTCAGGGTTCACCGACAGAGAGTTCAGCAACTATGGGGGAAGAAAAGGAAACCCACCCATTACAGGCTGCTGGTGGTGGGCCTTTAAAAGGGAGCTTCTTGCAAGTAGAGCTGCCTCATCCATCCATCCATCCATCATTCATCCTTCCTTCCTTCTTTCTGTTGATCCATTCATCTATCCATCTACCCATCATTTCACTTGACTGCTAACCAGAAGGCTGGCGGTTCAAACCCACCAGCCACTCCTCGGAAGGAAGGCTGAGCAATCTACTTCCGTAGTGATACTGCCTCAGTAACCCAAGGAGGGGTTGCTATGCGTTGGGGCCGACTCGACGGCACATAACAACAACCGCAACAACCCATCATTTAACCACTGAGCCATCCTTCCACCCATCACTTAACTATCCATTCATTCTTCTGTTCACCCATCATCCATCTTTCCTTCCTGCTTTCCACCTATCACCATCCATCCATCCCGCAAACCATCCATTCATCCATCCATCCATCAAACCACCTATTCATCCATCAAACCACCCATTCATCCATCAAACCACCCATCCATACATACATCCATCAAACCACCCATCCATCCAGTCCATCAAACCACCCATCCATCCATCCATCCATCAAACCGTCCATCCATCCATCAAACCACCCATCCATCCATCAAACCACCCATTCATCCATCCATCCATCAAACCATCCATCCATTCATCAAACCACCCATCCATCCATCATCCATCAAACCACCCATCCATCCATCAA